TACTCTGCTGATTATCTCCTTGGCTGTGCAGAAACTTTTTAGTTTAATCAAGTCCCATTGATGTATCTTTGTTGTTGCTACATTTGCTTTTGTGGTGTTAGGGATGCATGCTCTCCTTAGGCCAACATCTGAAAACGTTAGTCCTACATTTTCTTCTAGAAATCTGATAGAATCTTCAGGTCTTACCCTTAAGTCTTTAATCCATCTTGAATATGGTAAAAGGTAGGGATCCTGCTTCTTTCTTCTCCATATGGCTACCCAGTTTTCCCAGCACCAGTTATTCAATGGAGAGTTCTTTCCCCTGTGTGTGTGTTTGTCTGTTATAAATCAGTTGGTTTAGCTATCTGGTCAATATGTGGTCATAAATTGGTATAATGGACATTAGACACTAGGAAGGGGGTAGTGAGGGATTAAAAAAAAACCTTCCAATCAGGTATAATGTACCGGTAACAGGCTAAAAGCCCTAACTTCAGCATTATACAATTCTATTTGTTACAAGTGTTACAAGTGTAACAAAAAACACTTGTGCCCGCTAAGACACTTGTACCCACTTGTACCCTATTGAAATTTTTAAAAAGAAGAAGAGGTACATTCTTCTGTTGGTCACATCAAAAGCACTTGCTTCTTCAGTCTGTTAGCCCAACAAAACAGAGCAATCTCAAAAAGAAGCACTCTTAGCAATCAGCGGTTACCAACAAATACAGGGATAGGTTTGCTTTCCTTAAACAGTATTTGCTCAATATTTGCTTTTCTCTAATATCTCTTCTCTAAGATACATCTTCTCTAAGATAATCAGACCTAGAACTGCTAAAACATTTCTATTCATGATCTGGCTTGAATGATTCAAAGGTAATTAAGGACATAAAATAGTCTTCAGCGAGAATGTGGGTTTTCAGTGCGTGGGGCCTCTAAAGAGGGAAAAATGATCATATAAAATGTCATGCTTTTTATTGTTTTACTGAAGAAAGATAGGAATTTAGTGGTAGATTTCTGGTCAAAATGATGTAGTACATTTTTGCTTTGTCATATAGTTTCTGCTCCTACCACAAAGCAGAAAGAAAACCAGAAGCACGTTGCCAGGCACAAAACTGTAGTAGTCACCTCGTGAATCAGAAAAGAAACAGGATTAAAGGGGAAACAGGCTGAAGTCTTGGGCCCTCTGTGTGCTGGGTCTGGAAAAGACAGTATTGAGTTTAGGTGCCAGGTAGAAAGGACTGAAATGCCGTACACTTGGCAGGGCACAGAGCCAGGCTCTCTGCACAGAGCAAAGATTCTTCCCATTTGAGGAAGAAACTCATATATGAAGACCTGGAGATGCAGGGGACACATATTCATCTCACTACCAACGACCAAGTCTAGTTATTCCTTGACTCAGTGAAATGAATCTGTGGTCGCCACTATATCACACGATATTAAGAACCTCCAATATGTCATACTTTAAACTGAGGACTTTGGGCTGAAAGGAAGCAGTGACTTCACTATCTCAAAAGCAAGAGATAAGAGGCAAGAAATGAGGAGAAGGAAAACGCAAAGTGAGCCTAGAGCCTATGTTTCAAAAATCACGCAGAACCTAGGCTAAGGATAGACATCAAAACAATTGGCCATTTCAGATTATATTTTAAATAGCTTGCTAACAAAAACATATAGCGTGTTGAGGAAGACCAAAGGCAAAAATGTAAGAATAACTTTCATCTTAACCACCAAGAAATAATGAAACAAATATTGACAGAAATATATACTCTGGTTTCTCTTCAGATTGCATCCATCTTTCACCTTTTACGAAAATGGACAGAAAGATAACAAAAAAAGAATAAACATAAAAGTTTAAAATGTTTAGAATAAAAGCACAATCATTTAAATTAGTTTAAAACTGAACTGATGAAAAACTGATTTAATTGAATCCAAAAGGGGCACGAAACACAATTAGAAGATACAGTAATGGAAATATACAATGAAAATCTTGTAACAAATTAATGGAAGAAGATCGAAAACCCATAAAACAGGCAAAAGAATTGAATAATTCTAGAATAAGGAAGCTGGATGTTCAATAAACATATACAAAATCTCCTTCCTAAGCAAGAATTAAGTTAGAAAACATTTAGATAATATCCAATGCAGCTGAAGATGTATGTACCATACAATCTAGGACTTCCAATCCAAGGAGACATGTCCCAAATGTTTATGATTGCAGCATTATTTGTAAGAGTGAATTGTTGAAAGCAACCCATCTATCAAAAGAATAGCAAATAAATTGTACAGCTTATCTATACAGTAAATTGTACAGATATACTGTACATAAATTGTACAATATATCAACCCATTCTTTCTATAGAAGTTTAAAAGACATTTCTATTTTATTTGACTTGTTAATCCAGATATACTGTACATAAATCATACAGGTATATACTGTACATAAATTGTATAGTATATCTGTAAACTGGACACCAAAATAAAGTTTCTAGAGATACTGGTATCAAGATGGAGTTTCAACTATAATTAGTAATATCTTATTCCTTTGGAAAATAAAAATACCTGAGGACAAGAAAATAATAAATAAATATAATAAATGATTCCTATTTTCTACGATTGCATATCTCTGTCTAATCCAGCCTGGTTTCTAAGAAAGGGAAGTACAGCAGAGTGGCTGGCAGAGAAAGAACAGTTGAATTAGATTAGGATTTAAGCTTGTCATCGCTGAAACACATGTGAATAAGCACAGCTCTGGTTCATGCCACATCACTCAATTTCTAAAAGGAAAAATGAGGAGGAAAGTAGCTCAAGAGACAGCAAAATGCTTTTAGGCTGTGCATTTGAGTTCAACTGGAAACGGTAACTTTTGAATTGAATACACCTCAGCCATGGCTGGACATGGACTTCAGGATTTACAAACGACCTGGTCATTTTTGGTGAAGCTGAGAGAAATCTAAAAAACAAATGCAAGGAGGCTCTTTAGAAATTCTCTTAGTTTAAAGTTTAAGTAGCTTGTAGCAGGAAAAGAATATCGGAAAATAAAATATCTGTGCTCTAATCCTCCCGCATGTCTTGAATTTCAAAATTTGAACCGAGGCTTTGATGTGCAGACTTCATGCTGCGGGGCATGAAAGATTGAGTGGCCTTCTAACTTCTCTTTTCAGCAGAAGCGGCCCTGGTGGGGATGTGAAACAGGACTGCAAGCGGGGAGGTGTTGCTGCTCTGCGCGGCCTTTTGTGTTAGCTTTCATAGCTGGGGTTGGTCGATTCCAGGCTTAGTAACTAGGCTAAGTTGACGGAACCTTTCAAATGGTTTGAAACTTCTTTGGAAGTTTTGAATTCAAAACTCAGATTTTTTTAGGGGTTTTTCATAGTACATACTGGTTCATTCTGAAGGGTTAGCTTTATATGGGAAGACCAAGGATGAAACAAAGAGAGGATAGAAACTTTTTAACTTGGGAATATACCCATAGTCTACAGAGAGATGATCACAAAACATACTGAGGTCTTCGCCTTGCAAACATTTTTGGGGAGACGTTGGCTTGGTTTTTCAGGAAAATCACAGCTTTAACATGTTGCTTCAGTCCTGTCTGGGTCTCTTCAGGCAAGAGCAAAAATAAGTTAAGACCCTGAGGAACAAAATGTATAAGGAAAATATTCATCTGCACATTGAGACACTCTAGATCCTCGATACATATTTAGGGAATGAACTAAGTCAAATTTGGAGTTCTTGTTTTATTGAAACTGAAATTTTAAAAGTGTAAATTTGTAATTGATTCCTTGAGTCTAGGCTATCGATGTGCAAGAGTTCTCTCAATTCTAAAACTTTGAATAAAAATTATGCATTCAGGGTGGCTCCTATGGCTCAAAGGAGTAGGGCACTGGCCCCATATGTCAGAGGTGGCGGGTTCAAACCCAGCCCTGGCCCCAAACTGCAAAATAAATAAATAAATAATTGTGTGTTCAATAATATGTCAACTCTAGGTCAAGTTATTGAAAATATTTTCTTAGCTTATGTAGTTTATATAAATAAATTTTCCCAGTAGCTCCTTTAAAGGGTGGGAGGTCTATTATTTCTATGACTTTGAAAGGAGGGTGGGATGTGAAAAAGATGCAGACATGTGTCAATCACGGTTTTTAAAAAATGACTATTTTTAACATTTTGCGATGGATTAACAAGTCAAGTAAAATAGAAATTTCTTTTAAACTTCTGTAGAAAGAATGGGTTGAGAAACATCACCAGCTATAATTTTCACTACACTGGATGGTTTGAAATTTTATACTTCATATAGAAAAATAAGTGCTAAGTTCACACAAAGTGAACTATTTATTATTTGTCAGAGCTAAAATTTATTTCTTGTTACTGCTCTATTATTAATATAAAATTTTCTTGGCAAGAATAAATGACAAGCAAGCTAAGAATCTGTGGATATAGATTTCTACATACTTATAAAATTACCTTTGGCAAGTTATTGAAAGTCTCTGAGTTACCATTATGTGTTAAATAGACCTTTTTTTTAAATTTCAGATTAACATGACCGTACATATGGTTAGGTTACATTATTTGCATTTGCAAGGTAAAGTCCAAGGTGCAGCTGTGTCCTTCACCCAGGAAGGGTGCCATGTACCCGTGACCTGTACACATCGGGAACTTACCAACCCCCTTCCCATTCTTCTTGAATTTATTGAGTTTTTCTGATATGGGCCTGTCGTTGTAATCGACCCGTTTCATGAATAGACATAGTAATATTTGCTCTTCTTATATCTCAGGATTGTTACAAAATGCAAGTGGAAAAAATAAATATGAAAATTCTTCAAAAGGGCAAAAGAGCTGTATAAAATGTATTTTACTAACTACTGTGAAGGAGAACATTTAACTCACGAGTGCGGAAGAGTTTAGTGACCACAGTTTAGTGACCACGTGAGGGGCGACCTTGTAGGTACAATCCAATACTATGGTGCTTTCAAATATTGATAACGGCCTTCCTTTCTCTCTCCTTTCCGCTTTCTCCCTTTACTTCCCTTCTGCAGAACCTCTACCTGTAACCAGTGTTTCCATATATGACTACAAACCTTCTCCTGAAACAGGAGTCCTGTTTGAAATTCATTATCCAGAAAAATACAATGTTTTCACCAGAGTAAACATAAGCTACTGGGAAGGTAAAGACTTCCGGACAATGCTGTATAAAGGTAAGCGGCAAAAGGGAGGCTGAACTGATGTCTATCACTCTTTACAAAGCTTTTCTCAAATGGTGGTCTTTTTTACTGTGAAGAAGTACTATAACCTACTATTTGTCCTTAATAGTGGTTATTTTTAATAACCCATTAAAAATAGTTACTGTCATCTTTTAAGGGTACATGTGAATCTTTCTAAATGAAGAATAGAAATGTCTTAACACAATAACTAAGAAAATGACATGGAGACTCTGTTAACCAGTTTGATGAAAATAGTTCCAATTGTATATAAAAATAGCACACTGTACCCCATGACAGTATCAATGTACACAGCTATGATCTAATAAAAAAAGGGGGAAAAAAGAAAAAAATAAAAATAGTTACTGATTCCAGAAAAATCTTAATGAGGACTCTCAGAACATCTGGGTAGTTGAGAGCCACGCAGACAGCATGCATTCCGTGCGAGAAATACTCAAATTGTTATCACTTATGTGTCACTCTTGCCAGAGGCATCGTATCTAGTATAGGAAATAAATCCAAACTTTCACAGTTTAGAAGCACCCACCTAACCATTCTTTTGAAGCTTTTTCTAGGACTGGGAAGCTAGAGCACAGCCTTCTACAAAGATTCTCTTGGAGATTATCCTCAAGTGCAAAAGACAATCCTCTTTGGCTCCTTTGTATACATTTATCTGTAGGATCGGCTAAATAATTTCATTAAGATACAAAAATTGATTTACTAATTTTACTGGCTTGGTAGGGATCTTGTGGGGAAAGAGAAGAGAGTCCAGGAGAATTAATGTTTTGACAGAAGTACCAAGTCAACCTCCTTTAGTAGAAGTCTGGGGTGGGGTCAGAGGGAGGGCGAGAGGGCATTTCACTTCATTGGGAGTCAGTTCAAGTGAAGGAACTTGGATACTGTCAGGACATGGTGGTGCCCAGAACACTAGGAAAGGGACGACAAAGACACTAAATGATGGTGTCGAAGTTGGCTGATTATAACTGAAGATACACACGGGTGAAGTTGAAAATGAGTCCTAAGGTACCAAAGCACAAAGGGCATGTTATCCAGACAAATGTCACTTCGACTTGCTGTTTTTACAAACTCCCTTCTTCCGTGGAATATTTTCCCCCATAGATACTGTTTAAAATATATGTAGTAAATTTAGAGCTTTAAAAAATCTTTTAAAATCAAGTAAACATGAACTCCAAATTACTGCATTCTTTATTTTCAGTGAAAACATTATCTGCAAAACTAATAAGCAGAATCTTATTTGTTTATAGATCTCATGCAAATACAAGTTTATGAATGATTAGAAAACAATTACTGAAACTTTTGCTGAGTTACAAGCCATGAGTTTAAAAGTAATATGTCCTATTTTTAAGTCAATAAATTTTTATATCATTTTTAGTTTTTAATTCAATAAGTAGTTCTTGTAGTTTTCCCCCTTATTTCTTTTGAGTTGGATTGGATTTTTTAATTTATCATTGTTTTCTTTAAAGTTTTCTAAGTGGAATTCTCAATTTTAATTTTTTCTTTTTCTGAGCAGCTTAACCTAATCTATTTTTATTTTTATTTTATTTATTTATTTTTCTTTTTGAGGCACAGTCTCACTGCATCACCCTCGGTAGAGTGCTGTGACATCACAGCTTCCAGCGACCTCAAATTCTTGGGCTTAGGTGATTCTCTTGCCTCAGCCTCCCAAGTAGCTGGGAATACAGATGCCCATTACAACAACTGGCTATGTTGTTGTTGTTGTTGCAGTTGTCATTGTTTTAGCTGGCCTGAGCCAGGTTCGAATCCGTCAGGCACAGTGTATATGGCCGGTGCTCTACCCACTGAGCTATGGGCACCACCCCAATCTACTTTTAAATTAGGCTAGTTTTTATATGTGAAAACATTTCTTGTATAATTGTCTTTTATTATGTCATAAAGTGACAAAATACCTTGAGTTTTTATCATAAAGTAAATTGCTAGCATAAACCTAATCTTTATAATTTATTTATATTATATTCTCCAATTAATATCCCAAAAGTTCCTGTAATAAAAATTTAACTCAAATTATATTGAATCTTCTTAGGAATTCTGGCAGGAAAAGCCTTTCAGATTGAGTCTAAAAATCTAGTTTTATGTCTAGCTTTCTACTAATTCTTTTTTACTGACCATGCCAAAAGTTAAAAGAAATACTATTTTATAGGTATTTGACCATAATTGTTTCGAACTTTCTAGAAGTGTGTGTCATTTAGAAAACCATATTTTTAATGCAACTGATTCTTCTCCTCACAGATTTTTTTAAGGGAAAAACAGTATTTAATCACTGGCTTCCAGGGATATGTTATAGCAATATCACCTTTCAGCTGGTATCTGAGGCAACTTTTAATAAAAGTACCCTGGTGGAGTATAGTGGTGTCAGCCATGAACCCAAACAGCATAGGACTGGTAAGTTCAAATTTAGTGTAATAATCAAATTATATGTTGCATATTATTTTTATCCTATGAAATAACGTGTTCTAAAACTCAGGATGAAAACAAATGTATACGTCCAATAATCTAAAACAAATTTCCTATCAATATAAAAGAAACTGAACAAAATATTCAATAAGAAAAATCGAAAATGTGTCAATGCAATCACAGATTTTGTAACCTTAGAACAAAAAGGCATATGACACTATCAAAAGTTATAACTAAGTAACCTACTTACCTGAATCTAGTAGGCATCACTTCCTCTAGAACCTCACAAGTGCCCGTCAGGACAACAGTCTAGTAGAGACTATCAGATTATGAAAGGAAAATACTGGAATTGCCTAATTTTAGTAGTGTCACTAATATGAAGCACTATTATAGGATGGATGGAAAAGTGGATGGGTGGAAGAATGGATGGATAAGGTCAACATATATTTGCTAAATACCCATCACCAATATAAGCAACACTGTGTGTGCCTAACGTGCTGAAGTGCTCAGTAGGAATCCTGGAGATAGCAATTCCTATGAGCACTGGGAATGGGTTACAACAGCTCACCCTTGAGGCCCTGTGAAAGAAATTCCAACATGCCATGATTCTTATTAATTAGGCCAAGACCAGGAAACTTTCAGCTAACTAATATGTCTTATGTCAATGTCTAAGATTTTATTTGTATTTTTCACTATTTAATTCAAGTAAAGATACATTAATTGAGCACCGCCTACCTGAAAGTCATTCTGAGCACTGAGAGAGATGAAGACAAAAACTGGTGAGACAGAGTCCCCATCCTCAAAAAAATGGTCCATGTACTACAGAAATGGCAGTAATACAAAGCAGAATAAGATAAATGGCATAAAAGAGGTACAAAACTATTTAACAGATAAATGGCATAAAAGAGATGCAAAGGTATTTAACAGCACAAAAAAGAGAGAGAGAAATTTTTATTAGAAGTTCACAGAAGATGTGATATTAGAGCTACTTTTTGAAGGATAGATAGAAAGTATTGCACGCAGAGACCATGCAATATGTCTTCATAATTTTTTACCTCTAAAAATGTAGGCTTCCATGGTTCATAAACTCATTTTGTGCTCGTATGTCTCACTTTGTAGAGGTGAGGAGTGAAGCTATATTTCATATGCATGTGTTAGCATCTCTAAAAGTGATCCATGTAGTCAACTCTCTGCGGTACAACAGTGTTTCAAGGAATATTTTTATCTCGATAGCTATAAGTACACTATAGATGGGGGGGTTGTAATAAAGGTCCAGGGACAGTGATATATTTTTTAAGTGGGATTATGATAAACTGAAGAATATTTACATATTCTACTTTAGAAGTGATTAAATTACCACTTCAATAAACATAGCACTGTGAGTTAATATATTTGAAGTGTGACGGTGCCATACAAGATTCACAAAATATTGAAAGTACATATACTTGAAACCACACTTGTTCCTGATGTAAGCATGTCTATATGTTAGAAGTCAAATTAAACTCTATTTTGTAAATCTGCTTGTGTATTTGACTCGATAGATTATGTATTACAAAAAACTTACTTGAAAATGACAATTCTCTTTCTTACAGCACCTTATCCACCTCAGAATATTTCTGTTCGTATTGTGAACTTGAACAAGAACAACTGGGAAGAACAGAGTGGCAGTTTCCCGGAGGAATCATTCCTGAGATCACAGGATACAATAGGAAAAGACAAACTCGTCCATTTTACAGAAGAAACTTCTGAAATTCCTTCTGGCAACATTTCCTCTGGTTGGCCTGATTTTAACAGCAGTGATGATGAAACTACATCTCAGCCTTACTGGTGGGACAGTGCATCTGCAACTCCTGAAAGTGAAGACGAATTTGTCAGTGTGGCTCCCACGGAATAC